CTCAAGATACTATCTCGTGGCCTCAAGATACTATCTCGTAGCCTCAAGATACTATCTCGTGGCCTCAAGATACTATCTCGTAGCCTCAAGATACTATCTCGTAGCCTCAAGATACTATCTCGTAGCCTCAAGATACTATCTCGTAGCCTCAAGATACTATCTCGTGGCCTCAAGATACTATCTCGTGGCCTCAAGATACTATCTCGTAGCCTCAAGATACTATCTCTATCTTGAGGCCACGAGATAGTATCTTGAGGCCACGAGATACTTATCTTGAGGCCACGAGATAGTTATAATACATTTTTTTGACAAAGTGGGACTAGGGGGGCTCCGTAGTCTTCTGCTCACCAAAGCTGCATTTATTTGATCAAAAACAAGGTAAAAATTGTGAAATATTATTACAAATTAAAATGACAGTTTTCTGTAGTATATATATAGTAAAATGTAATTTATTCCTGTGATCAAAGCTGAATTTTCAGCATCATTACTCCAGTCTTCAGTGTCACATGATCCTTCAGAAATCACTCTAATATGATCTGATGCTCAAGAAACATTTCTGTGATATTTTCATATTTTTCAGGACTCAAGTGGACTATATTGGTGGAGTAATGTAGGGAAGAGTGAGTGAGGGTATAGGGGGGCGATTTCGAACACAGAACTCATTTTCAGATCTCGTCTATAGTAATGTGGTTGTTCTATTTCCCGCATTTTGCTTCTTGTATTCCTGAAGAAGTGTTAAAGAATTAAAGTTTAGTTTGTAATAGCATTTCTCCAGCATGCATTATGTCTTATTGGGTGCTGAGTGGCTCAATCGATCATTCGAGCATCGCTCCTTCAGACAGCATCTCAGTCTCTCAGGATGATACAGCGTCTCATTTTCAGTCTGAGTAAATGGCTTCGACCTCTACGTCCAGGGGTGGATGGACGGTCTGTTGTGGCTCGTGAACGCCTTCATATAAACGCTCCGCTACAAGATTTATTCATCTGGCTTTGACACCAGCACACTGCGTTTCCCAGAATCACTCTCAGTCATGACACTCGAGTCATGAAGATGCAGTCGCACTCGCTCGCAGAAGATGCTTTATATCGAGAGAGAGAGAGAGAGAGAGAGAGAGAGAGAGAGAGAGAGAGAGAGAGAGAGAGAGAGAGAGAGAGAGTGTGTGTGTGTGTGTGTGAGTGAGAGAGAGAGAGAGAGAGAGAGAGAGAGAGAGAGAGAGAGAGAGAGAGAGAGAGAGAGAGAGAGAGAGAGAGAGAGAGAGAGAGAGAGAGAGAGAGAGAGAGAGAGAGACCGGGCTAATCTCCACCTCAGTACAAGCAGACTTAGAGAAATTAACCAATAATAACCCATATACGCGACTGGTCAAAAGTTGGAATAAGTAAATATTTTTTTACTGTAGTAAAACCATTATATTGTGAAATATTATTACCATTTAAGCTGAATTTTCAGCATCATTACTCCAGTCTTCTCTTCAGTGTCACATGATCCTTCAGAAATCACTCTAATATGATGATCTGATGCTCAAGAAACATTTCTGAACATTATCGATGTTGAAAACAGTTATTTTTCATATTTTTGTGGAAACGACTATTCGGAAGTTTGGGCTAAAAAAGAAAAGAAAGAAAAAATAAATGAATCAATTATTTTATTCAGCAAGGATGCATTAAATTGATGAAAACATTTGACAGTTAAGACATTTGACATTTATAATGTCACAAAAGATTTCTATCTGAAATAAATGAACTTTCTATCCGTCAAAGTATCTTGAAAAAAGGTATTATGGTTTCCACAAAAATGCTAAGTAGCAAAAACAGTTATTTGCAATGGTAATAATATTTTACAAAATTACTGTTTTTACTGTATTTCTTGTACTGTATAAATGCAGCCTTGATGAGCATAAGATACTTATTTCAAACTGTTTTGAAAATTTAATTATTCCTAATTTTTGATTGGTAGTGTAGACAGATAATCAAACAAACCAATATATATATATTTATTTATTTTTTTACAGATATTTCAGTTTTTCTACCTAAACTGTGTGTTGAAAAGAAAACAACAGGTAAAGTAAACCATGAAAATAAATGTTAAAATTCTAAAGAAATGAGACAAACCGGTTCTATTTTCTTTATAAAAATAAAATGATTAATAATAATAATAATAATAATATAGAGTTCCTGCTGTATCAGTAGCCAATGAGCTTGCAGCTCAACTTTCAAATCTGCATTTTCTGTATCATTTTGCAGCGTGCTTTCAGAAAGCCTCCACCTGTATAGATCGTGTGTATCGTCCCAACTCATACCAATCATTTGTTAATCATCTGTGAACAAACAAGTATTCATTACTTCAATGAGCTCATTGTTTGTGCATTAAATGATTACATTGTTTAAACTAACTGTGATTTTGCATATGGACATTTCTGAAATACATAACTTCGACAGATAACAGATCACTCTAAATTGTAATGTGGACTCGTGCATTTTCTGCAAAGCTGCTTTGAAATGATGTGTATTGTAAAAAGCGCTATACAAATAAATGTGAATTGAATTGAATTACCATGCCAAACACAAACAAGAGATATTCTCCTTTAAAATATGAGAAACTGGAAAGCTTACACCAGAGCTTCTTTCTGCAAGCGTTAAAATATTCGTAGGTTTTGGCTGCGTGATCAACCACTTTCACAAACGCTTGCATATTTCCTCAACATCCTTTTGATGGACCATCCACATCAAAATCAATGAATCAACTCAAGCCAAAGCAGGCCTTCTGTTGACGTTACGCATGAAATGACTCTTCATAGCATTTGTGCGTTTCGTTTGGCACCAGTGCCTGTTCTCTCATCTTACACACACACACACACACACACACACAAATAACGTCCATGAGCGTCAGGAAAGAGTTCACCTGGGAGACCCGCGGCCCACGGGCTCCATATTTAGATCCAGATATAGCGTGGGTGCAGATGTCTGTCTGCCTGTGGCCATTCCACACCAGATTGCACAGACCATTACCCTCATAGAGAGATGCTTATCACCCACAAGAGCTATTAACCTATATAGGGCCTGGGAAACAGAGCACACTGCCGTAGTAACAGCTAAACCTCCATTACAAGGACATATAAACGGATGCAAGCGAACGAAGGAGAATGGATAGTTACTAGTCCTGCATCTCTAACAGTGACACCCATCTTTTCCAGCATCCCACAAGTATTTTTCTCATTTATTTACTCCACAGGCATCTCAAAAATCTGTTCAATGAGTTATAAGCCAAACCATCCAGTGCCGAGATGAATTAAAACATTCAAATAGTTTAGTTTTGACTGTGCATTTCTTTTCTTGTTGAACAACACTGCTCAAGCACAGTGAATGAACTAATCACACAAAATAAAACATTGATTGATGTATAAATACTATATTTATAATATATATATAATTAAAGTTCATCGCAACATTATCAAAATAAACATCCGCCATATTTTACTATTTTCTGTGAGTGTGCGACACGTTTCATTAGCCATTAAATAACTAGAAGCATAACAAAGTGCAGAAACTTGTAAGACTATTTGCACTACAAACCACTGTGTTTATAATAATTTAAAATTATGATAAGAAATACCAGTTTGTTGTATCAAGCAGGATAACGCTGTTTTGTACACCTACAAATAACTAAAAGTGTCGCACATTCAAGTTACAAATGGCCGCTCCCCTTGCGTTTAAAGTTGGCATAAAAAAGAAGTTGCAATAGTTTCTTCTTCCTTGTTGTGACGTATATCTGAGTGAAACGGCTTCTCCAACAAGAACAAATGTATAGGTTGGGTCTTGATTTTGTCCATTTGGGAGTTGATTGAATGGTTGTGGTTTGCTATTGGTCGATGTCATGTGACTGACAGGTTGCCCCGCCCTCACGACAGTAAACAAGTCATCAGAAAAACAAAACAAGAACTGTCCATTTTGATTTCATGTTGACTTTAATATAAGGTGGATAAGAAGTTGACTTGAATTAGAATTTGCTTGATGTGTCACTGCTGAACTTTCCTTTTTTAGTTTTAACCTGTTAAGTGTCACCCCCCTTTTTTTGAATAGACATGAAAATGCACATTTCGAACTTAAATGGTTATAATTCAAGAATGCTTTGGAATATCGACGTAAGATTGGTCTCGTTTTAAAGAAGACATTTGGCAGATTTTTGTAGAAGTGAAATAAATTAACAGAAAAGGAAAAAATCAAAGCCAAAAATCTAAACAAGTTGTGTTTCAAAATTTAGCTTGATATCTCAAAAAATGAGCTTTCAGTGAGATTTTGTTTGGGCGCAGTACCGAACGCTTCCACTAGGGAACAACCAGACTCCATTTTATAAGGGTGCCTCCATTTCCATATGTGTTTTGAGTGATCTGAACCATTATTTCCACAATTTTCATACAATTTATGAAGTAGACATCCTATTCAGAAGTAATATGAGACGTTTGGCAGATTTTGATATGAATTCAACCTCAAAGAAAACATAAAAAGAACAAGTATGTGCCAGTCTACACCTCACAAATGGTGAATCTATAATTTTTTTCTTTATATTTAAAAGAATGTCAGACCTTTTTTTCTAAAATAATTGAATGGATGCTATCTTTTGAACTCTTGGCATGAAAACAAACTGAGGTTTCTATCCTTCTTTCATGATTTTTCATGTTCATCACTATTTCAAAATAAAGGTCTAAACACGCCTTAGGAGTTTGAAAATATTCTTGTTGCAAATTGATAAATTACGGCTCCTCTGTAATTTATTTTGAAAATCAATCACCAAATATGGAAACTAGAGATTATAAACTTTCAAATGATATATAGTTTGTCAAGATTAGTTTAGGTTTAGTATAGGATATTACTGTTTTAAAAAGGTAATGGATTTGGGCCCACCGGTGGGCCGGTGACACTTACACGTTGGAAATATCATTGCAATGTTGTTTGACATAGTTTGTTTGTTTAATAATAGCAGGATGCATTGAATATGGTCTTACCTTTGGCGTTTTGGTGCATTTCCCTGTTCTTGCATCTTTGATGTAGTTGATGTCCAATAGGTCTGTTTCCTGAGAGAGGGAGGGAGGGAGGGAGGGCAGATTTTATGTCACAGCTCACAAAAACAATTTCATGCTGTTGGAGCAAATCAATATTATGTTAAATATTACAAAAGCCATTCAAATGTCACACAAGGCAACAGCATGGAAAGTGTTGACAGAGAAAACACTGATGGAAAATCAAGGATTAATAATTAAGCAAATGTAAAACACAGTGTTTAATTTACGCACGTAGATCCAGATCAAAGAAATAATCGAATGGCTCTCTTAAAAATACATTCCTAAGGAAATGATGCAGGGCCAGAGCGCCGCATTATTTGCGTCTGCAGTGTGTAATGCGCACGCTGACAGATATGCTTTCTGACAGCTGCAGCAGAACCGAAGGCTGACGGCATTCTGCTGGCATGGCTGAGCTACAACTGAGCAGGAACAAAACAAAGAGGCATTTGCTCTCTATACTCCTTTATGCAACACAGCAATGAATGAGGATAAAAATAGAACATCATCATTTGTGTGATGGTAAAACCTGAATGTCCTCATATGCTCCTGGGAACAACATTTGAATGTAACCGTGCCCTGTAGTGACACCCTACTTCAAAAACTAAGCATTTTTATAATTCCTTTATTTTAATTATGCATGCTTTTTATGATCTCATAGTAAACGAGGTCTACTTTAAAAAAAAATAATGTCACACCACAGAGATACTTAAATCAGCCAAACCATATTTAAGCATTTAAGCCAAGCGTGCCGCACAAGCCCTGAAAAGTGAAGCCGAAGCGTCTCGATCGCCCCCTGGTGGCCGGTCCTAGTATAGGTCATAAACCCCGCCTCCCTGTGTTATTCAACGGGATGTGAGACCAACTAAACAATTAAATTACACTTCAAATATCTTCTTTCCAAAGATGGTTTCTGTCATTTACTGTAGTTTTTATCACGCTGATGTAATTTCAAGTGTTTGTTTTTAAAATAAGTTTGTTTTGAGTTAGTTATTTGATTCGGTGGTAGTGACGTCATGATTGACAGCTGTGATTGACAGGTTCTCTGAGTCACTGAAGCACCAACTGACTTTTTTTCGGGATCTTCGGAGGACTGAGGAGATTGGAGCTTTAAATGTAATATCTACATTTCTATAATTAATTTTAAAAAAAAGTGCAGGAGCGTGTGTTTGCGATTGATTCTGCGAGAGTGAGGGCGGGGCCTCGATTTCGCGGCTTTACTTCCGGCTCACGACTGCGCACGTCTGGTCCCGAGATCGCTTCTGCGCAGACTCAAGTTCCAAGATGTCAGCGCCATATCGGGACACTGGCGGCTTCACTTCTGACCAATGGAGGAGAGCGAAGGGGTGTCGTCCATCTTTTTTACAGTCTATGATTTAAGCACAGGGAGTGCGGTTTCCGAATATGAATATAAAAAATATTGTGATTGCAATATGCCTCATTTCATTAAACAAGAAGTTAATATTGAGACACCTACATTTTAGACACAATATCACCAAATACAATCTGTTTTACCTCCAATATCGAAAATTGTTCCAAACAAACACAGTGTTGTGGTGTTTTGTTCTGGGATGATCCGACGAGTCGATTGAGTGAAAGATTCAATGACTCAACACAGTTGAACTTCGTTCCTGAATGAATCAGTATTTTTTAACGAATCGGGTTGCGTTTAAGGCTGCGTTTGCATCCAAAATCGCATACTTCTCTACTATATACTAAGCAAAAAACAGTATGTGACAAAAGAAGTATTTTCGAATGTACAGTACTCATAAAAGTGTAGGCAAAAAGTACCCGGATGATCAGCTACTTCCGGTGAGATTCTGAAGTGTGCATCTGATGGACACTTTACTATCCCATGAGGCCTTGTGAATGACTGATGCTGGAAGGTCACATGACAATGACAACATGGCGGATGTAGATCATGTGGATTACATTCACAGTACGAATGTAATCCAGACTTCCATGAATTTCATACACATTCATACTATATAGAACATACTTTTTTTAGCGGCCGCAAAGTAATTGCTTATTTGAAATAATTACCTATTCAAGAGAGTATGCGATTTCAGCCAGTGTTTTAGTCGGTTATTTCTCACACCTATCTCGCTAACTTCCCTCCGCCTCGTTCACTCGAATGAACGCCATTGCTTAAATACACAAGTGCCTACTACTGGTGGCATTCTTGCTATGGGTTTTACAGTAAATTAAACATCCCTTGATCACTTGTGGGTAAATTATGTGTGCGCACTGCGGGTTGCTGACATCATAATCGTGTTGCATTGTAGTCTATGTAGTCTATGAGTAGACTCGCTCCCTCGGTCAAAATCAAAGTTTAAATAAACTTTCTTTGCCCACTTGACGAAGTTGAACGCACTTCAAAACAGCGGTGCAGATTCCCCCAAGGAAGTTGTAGTATGTCTAAAAGGCCCTGCACCAAATGGCTCACTTAATATGCACTAACGGTCTTACAATGGCCGCCGCCTGATCGTGAAGTCAACGAGACCAAAGGGTGTCCCATTTGTAATTTTAGCTTTCAGAAGGGTGCTCTGCAGTCGATATGCGTCCTTGATAGGAAGACTGAGGGCCAGATGTACTGACGCTTTTGCGCCCACTTCAGGCGTATTTGTTTCGCAAAGTGCGCATAAAAGCATGGCGAGGTGTGTACGAACGGGACGCACCGAGATGAAAGCGCAGACTGCCTGTCGCGGGAACTGAAAATGGCAAAATGCGCTTTCCGTGTCATCCATATGCATTCATGAGATGGTCAAGGGGAAAGTGGGAGTGTCACATAAAGAGATGGGAGGGCCTAATTATGTATTCCGCAATATGTACATAAAAAGCCGGTGAAAGCGCGCCTCTGTAGCCTGACTTAGTCATACTCATATTCTAGTCAGAATGAGTCTGATACTCCTCCATTGGGCTTTGATTATGAGGCGTGTCTTAACCGAACCAGGAAAAAAAAAACCTCTGCACTCAATTGGATAGACCTACAACCAATCAGAGCAAAGCAGTAAGTGACGTATGTTGAGCTACGCATAGTTGTCATCAGAACTCAACTGCACGCACTGAGCAATCCCCACCTCTAATACACTGACAAACAGTCTGTCTGGAAGAAAACACAGATATAACAAATGTTTTACACATAATATAGACCTATATGCACCTTTTAAAATATCCATAAAGTTGATTGAAACTTTTCCTAAAGATAAACTGACATAATAATCAATTATGATTTCAAAGTCAGTCCATTATCCTTATTTCTACATTATATTTCTGTTCATTCCTGAAACGCATTTTGCATGGGCTGCAATCCCCACCCCTCGCTGACACACTTTTGTGTGTGTGACAGTCGAGGGTTGAGGACAAGCAGACTCCAGGAGATTATATAAAGACAACCTGGATGTCATTTGTTCAGCGCTTTGACCTAAAACACTTACACAAGAAACACGTCTCCTTTAATATTCCCTAGGCCACGGGGTCATCCCCAACTCAACTCACATTTATTTCAGACCGTCAGATAACTTCGAAATGAAAACATGATGCACAAACGACACTGAGGAGAAATCGAACAATGCCTGTAGGATATTTTTATACAGTTTTATATTTTCAGATCATGTGAAGGTGCCTGTAAAACATGCAACTATAATGCCATGCAATGCTCCCCATAATATGACTATATAATATTTATGATAATTGCAAGTAACTGCCAAGGCTATCTGAATAATGAAAGCATCTCTGCAGTCAACCGGTTCAACTATGAAAATTGGAGTATGGTGGCGAGCGCTTCACCAGCGCCATGGCAACAGGGGATGGAGGTGGTCTATGACGGGGAGTTGGGCTAAAGCAATCTGAAGACAGGCACCATGCACCGTGAAATCAGCTTGCAGAAGACGTCGCCAGCAAACTCAGACACTTCTGTGCTCGCTGACAATCCTTTGAGACTACATGATCAAATATCTGATAGTTCAGCAGAGCAAACCGCAGTCTATTGACTCTCTATCCGCAGAAAACTCACAAACGTGCTACAATGTTCAATAATGAAGCCGGTTGTAAGTGACTATAATGATTTCCTCGTCTCTCGCTGGCGACAATCCGGCCTGCAGTGCATCTAAATATAGAGAAGCATGTATTGATTCAATAGCTTGCTTTGCATAACAATCCTGGATGCTTTTACATTACTATTGGCCAGAGGCGGCTGTTCTGGAATTCCTCACGTATTTTATGGACAGGAAAAACTGTCGGTTTGTTTTCATTGCTTTCATTGATTTGCAAGTAGATTGCTATCTAAAAAAACAACTGTGACCTCTGGTTTCTCTGTCCATGTGCATGTATATTATACACATGATATCAGGGTGAACAATAAGAATGAGTTCATATTTATTTAAATTTAAGTGTGACCTAGACAAACAATTTATTTTTTAGCAAATTCTGTTTGATTTATTTTTTCCAAATTCCGTTTTTCAGTTTGAATGTTTCTGGATTTAATGGTTAAATTAAATTTTAGTAATCAAAAAGCATGTCTAATTCATTTAAATCAAGAAAACGTATACAATTTAACAACAATTTATTAAAAGTTTAACAAAAATGAAATGTTTAGGAAATGTAAATATTTTTTCCCCTCAATTTTTTTTAACTAAATTTAGTTTTTCTGTTTATGTTAATGTTAATAATCAAAAAGCATGTCAAATTAACTAAATTCATAAAAACAACAATTTATTATTTTTATTATTATTCTTTTTTGTTGTGTATTTTTATTTTTCTGTCAATCAATCAATCAAATAAAGGCCTAAAAACATTCATTTAATTTATCTTTTAATAATATGAAATTAAACAAACTAGTTTTTGCACAACTGAGCTTTACTGTTATGCAACAGCGTAAGAAAATTTGTGGGCGGCTATGTAACGATCACCATTGAGAGTGTCCGGGATAACTCCAACCCGGACAATCACCACACATCCACATACTCCATTCCCCATAATCCTTTGCCCAGACCATCATCCATTATCACATTCAC